GGGCTGAGTGCAGGCAGCCAGTGTTAAACTACAGGAAAACTAAGTCTAACTGTAACCACTTAATGCGTATGCAGAGCACAGACACTACAAATTGCAAAGTCATTGAAATGTTTCCTAACCTTTGCCTTCCAGGTGATTCAAAACTTGGCCTCAAAACAAAAAATTCACTAGTTATGGTAAGTGCTTTCCTGTCTGTCCATTTTCTTCTTTGCAGAAGCACCGAGGGGGGACAGAGACGGCATTTCACTTCTGAGGAAAACCTAAGGCCCAAGGTGGAGCTGTGGAAACAGCAGCAGGGGTAGAGGGCGCTGAGCTCCAAGCCAGAAAGAGTGCAGAGACCTCTTTCCCCATCAGCCTTCCAGGACTAGGGCAGCCTTGGCAAAGGGAGGACGGTGGCTGTTTCCTACCTGCTCCCTCCCTGAAGAAGCCAGCAAGGCTTCCACAGTCAGAATCAGCAGTCGGACAAGCATCTGGGATGAGAGGCCCACGTCCCCAACCCAGACAGCAGAGCCCATCCCAAGAGCTGAGCACCTGGCCTAGAGGTCATGCTGAGGCTGGGTCACGCCCCTCGCCTGACGTGGCCACTCTGTTGGGATGAGGTCCAGGTGACGTAGAGCAGAACCTTCTTGGTGTCGCGGCTGTGTCTGAATCACTCGTATTCTGTGGTCCTGGGAGGCGGGGACTCCTGCTTCATGCTATGCACTTGGGAGGTAAAGCGGGTGGTGAACCATTTAGCCTGTGAAAGGAGACTGTCCTTATGTGTCTCTAGCCCATCAGCAAGGGCGACTTTAAATGAACTTCAAGGTGAATTGTCTATAGAAGATCAGTGTGCAGTTAACTAACATGCTTTATCTGTGCATCCTCAGGGCATGCACTAAGCCTAAGGAACTAAATTCTTCCAGAGTATAAGCAGGATCTAGGATTGAGAAGAATTAGCCACAGTTAGGGTTCTGGCTGGGTGAGTGCAGCCGGGCCCAGCAGATGGTGCCACCCTGGTGGGGCAGCCAAGGGTTCCTCTACTGCCATTCAGGAAGGCAGTGATGGTTTCAAGGGAAAAGAGCTTCCCAAAGACTGGGGACCGGCAGACAGAGTGGTACCGAAATGGGAGCCTGGCTTCCTGGGGCCTCCACCTTCAACAGATGCCTGCGCCTCTTATCTTTCAGATTCAACATGTTCCACAGAAACCACCCTATCTCAGCTTAAATTTTAAACATAAATGTGTTGAAATCTGTGTGGTGCTTCTTTAGTAAACACTGTACTGACTTTACCATAATTTTTTTTTTAGCGTGTACCTTACTACAAACTGACAGTGCGTGTACTTAAAGACATATAAAAATTTATAAGCTCTCAACTAGACTTTGAGGGCAGTCTGTTTTATGTAATGTCTGATAACAGAAACTTAACTTGCTTCATATTTTAGTTGTATTCAAGATCTGAAAATGTATTTTATAGACAAGTTGTTTTTTAACTTTGTGGAACTATTCCAATCAACTTACCAGTTATGATGAGTATTCACATTATCAATGTACAATCCAAACATCTGTAAAGTTTACAGTATGTTTTTATTACATAACATTTTTCTATGCTGTGTCTCGTCACCTGGATGACATTGGGAGTCTGAGTTGTCAGCTTGGCCCCTTAAAGTTTCTAGTTATA